TCTACTATATCCCCAGGCAAACTAAGCATACTAGATACACAAACACAACATATTGGAACAAAAGATAATGCTGCTAAGTATATATTTTGTAATCTAAACTGCTCTTTCTTCTGCCTATAGGTTAAGCCTGATAATCTAGCTAAATTGTTTGGTAAAAATATTAATAATAAGCTATTTACCAAAAATTGATAATAAATTTTTATTAGTGTCGAATTACATGTGTGAAATTTCTGATACGCTCAGTATTTCACACCTTCTTCCAATCATTTTCCAACATAATTCCCATTTACAAAATTTCTGCTTAGCCAGAAAAGTTTAAACTGATTAGGTTCACTAAGCCAAGATTATTAGTCTTCCAACTTCCACAGTGGCAATTTTAAAGGCTTTTACTTCTACCTATTGGGAGGAAGATGTCATATTGTGTTCTATGAGCACAGACAGATGTATAAGTCTCTGAACTCACGGAAATTATCAGTCTAATAATCAACACAGAAAAGTGTTACATGTATAATAACACCACATAAATTCTACAATTAACATTTTACTATCCATCATTTCCTCATATTACTGATTTGCTTCATCTATATTTACATTTTTATGGACTACACATCCCTTTCTACATCTATCGATCCAGTTGACATTTTTAATGCATTTCAAAGAAAGTTGCTGGCATTGTATGTTTCACCCCTAAATACTTCAACATACCTATCATTAACGAGTTTAAGAATTTTTAGATTTTTACATAAAGCTTATAAATATGAAATGCACAAATCTCAAGTATCATTTACAAAGCTTAGATCTCTATAACCCAAATTCCTATCAAGATATGAACAGTACTGTCACCCAAAAGTTCCCTCATGCCCATTTCCAGACAATCTTCCACCCCAACTCCCACCTCTAGAAGGAACCATTGTTAGTGATTTTTTCCACCATAGTAAGTTTTGCAAATAATTGTAAACTCAAAATTTTAAATAAACAGTGATAGGCTGAGGAGTCAAAAAAGACTTCATGTGGATAGATGTGGAGGCACATGATAGAGTAAAATGCTTAGCAATTGTAAAAATAAGGTGGTGGATATTTGGGTATGACAGTTATCAATTTATTATCTCTCAGCTCTAAATTTACCTTTCTTTGCCTTGCTTTGTGACACTGACTAGACCCTGCAAACATTTCTCCTTTGCCAGCTGTAGAGAGGGTGGTTGAGTGACCCTGTAACATGATAGCAGCAGATTCACATTTCCCTTCTAGATTCTGGTCCTCCCTCATTAACCTGCAGTGTGAGCCCAACAGCCTTGACGAGGAGACAAGTTCCAGCTGTGGCCTCAGGCTCCAGTGTCCCCACTGACAGGGGGCGCTTCTTGAGACTAGCCATGGTAGACGTACCCTTTTTGAAGAAGTCTGCATACAGCCTCTGGAAAGAAGGGTCGTCTTCCAGTCTTTATTCCTCAGTCTAGAAGTAGTGGCTGCTCTTTTGTACCTGCTACTTCTGGGACCCTTAGACTATACCCCTTTTAGTAGTTAACCAGCCCTCCTTGTTCTAGGTAACAGTTCTTCATATTTAATTTTTAAATAACCAGTATAGTTCTGTGTTTTGGCAGAACTCAGATTACTGTAAAATATATTTACTGTTCAGCTGTTCCGTATGTTTGAAACTATTCCAGGAGGAGGGAAGCAGGCTCTTGAAAAGAGCCTGGTGGAATGGATTTTAACAGGCAGAAACGGGATGAGTTTCCAGTTAAGAAAAAAGCACCCATAAAATATGGAGACAGAAAACTGAAGAATATGTTTCAGCCACAGCAAGTAGATTGGCTAAAGTATAACGTGAATAATGCAAATGAATTTGTTTGGTGAGAACTTTTTTCCTTCCCTTTAAGCCTTCTTCACACTCAATTGCTTTCTTTTTTGCTACTCTTCTGTCCCAGCTCCAGCCCATACGTCCAAGGCCTAGCACTTTCCACTCTTCCCCACCTCTTATAAACCATAAATCAACCCACTTCAGAGACTTTTCATACATCTTGATTTTTTTAAACAATGAGCATTATTATATCTGTCTTTGGAAACATTTACAAGAAAATGTAGATATGTTTGTGCTTATATAGCAGTACTTTTTTTTTACATGTGGAGCTGTTAGTAGTGACATAAAACAGATTTTCATTATCTCTAGTTAGAAGGGGATAAGAGAAGCATTGAGTAATTACTTAATAACTAGTGACTTCTTTTATAATCACAAAATATAGCTAAACACACAAAAGTAAATATATATATGAGTATGTGTGTCAACACATTGTCTCTGGAAAGGGATTGATAATAGTCTTTGTTAAACTGGGTGGTGAGTTTAGTTGAGCAAATAATAATAGAATACCCAATATCTCCACCCACCAACACTTAAAGCACCTCTCCAGTGATCTCTCTCATCTTTCTCCTTCCTCAGAAATGACAATTATTGTGAAGTTTGATTTATAAAAAGAATGTTTGTTTAATCTAAAGTGAAAATATTTTAAGTTATAAAACCAGCTGGACATTTAAAAGGAAGAACTCATAATACAGATAAGGTCATAGAGAGCAAATATATCCAAACAAAACTTATATTAAGACAATTCATAAAAAGCACATATGAATATATACCTGATGCACACACTGAAGTACACTGACACCCCAACTGGGCTCCTTTCTCTCTTAAACCCCATTATTGGTAGGTTCTGAACCAGCCATTCTATTTCAAGCCTCTACATGTGGCACACGCTTTTTCATCTACTTAGAATGTGTGCAGAGACACAGGCATTCCAGAATAAGAGAGCAGCAGACATACGTTGTTCAGTAAAATTTAGGCAATGACTGCTTTCTCAACTCCGGAGGATACGGGCTTGCTGATGCTAAGTCTGGTTTAATATCCAGAACACTGCAATGTTTGTAAACATTTTAAATAGACATTCCAGGACTGTTAATGTGAGTTCTTCCAGAATAAAAAGGCAATGGTTAAGACATGAAGTGGATTTCTTTCTTGCCTCTGACAGGACTCTTCCCATGTAGACAATATCACAGACAACTATATACTCCATAGGACAGCCAGGGCAAAAGAAATGCCCTGCTCCCACCCACAATCCCTGCCGAGATATGCTGCAGCTGTTCCTGCTCTGGGTGATGCCTTGCTTCCACTAAATTCTAGCAGCTGTGCAATAGAACTTCGTGATAATGAAAATGTTTGAAATCCTGTCACATGACTACTGGGCACTAGAAATGTAGCTACTGTGACTAACGAACTGGATTTTTAAATATTATTTAATTTAAATTAATTTAAATTTAATAGGTACATGTTGACTAGTGGCTACAGTCTTGGACAACGTAGTCTACAAGAAAATCAGTAACTGAAAACCTGTATGTTTGCAAGTTGTCTTACCGCCAACCCAAAAGCCTACCTGCAACATTGCAAATGTGGTTCTGTCTCCTACCCTAGCTGCCTGGCAGAAACATCCATTTGTCCTCATTCAAGCAGCACCTCCTTTGTGAAGCCCTGGCAGCCCAGGGCTACTAACTCTCTACCTATTACTAACCTATTATATCAAACCATTATACTACTGCAGATTTACCTACCTGTGTCCCCTGCTGTACTGGAGGATATAAAAAGACAGCAATTGTTTCATAATAATATCTAAATCCCCAGAGCCTAACAAAGTACCACATCCTAAAACTCTTGCCTTACATTCTCCTGGCTAGTTTATTAAGCCACTCCTCATACTGAGCCCCAGCTCTTTACTACTCCACCTTTTGAAATCTCATAATCTCATCCACAATCAACATCTTAGAACTGAGGAAATTGCAGTTCATGTTATCTGTATCACAGAGTATGGTGTTTCGGTATGGTGTTTCACTTCAACATACAATCACCCGGTAGAAAACACTGTAAAGCAATGTAAATCATGATTAGAAAAATCAAGTGAAAATAAAAAGAAAAGTAAGCAGACATACTAGAAAGTAGGTAGACTAGAATTCAGGGTTAGACACAAATATCTCAGGGGAAGGGGAGAGGGTTTGACATAGAAGTGACATTTGTAACCATTCAATTCATGAATTAGATCACTCAGGGATTAAAGTGTAGATAGAAGAATAAAGGCATTCCAAAGTTCAGAGATCAGAGATAAAAAGAACTTGCAATGCATCCCAAGAAGAGGCAACCAGTGGCATAGAGGAAAGCCAGCAAAGTGCACTGGCAGTCAAGTGAATAAAGTGATTTGAGGAGGAAAGAGTCATTTAGCTATGATAAATGCTATTGCTAGATCAAGTTGGAAAGTAGGTGGTACGTTTTTTTGCTCCAAACTGAAGAGAGAAAAAGATACCACTTGGCGTTCAATTACCAGTGATAGAGAAAAAATAGAAGTTGTACCAATGTTGTCTAATATAGACATTTTATTTATTTTCATTACATATATACTATTCCAGAGCATCACACCGTCCTTTTAACATCCATATGAAACAAGGTTTCAAAGAGCACAACAATTGTTTTGGGCAGTATTAATTTTAAACGACAACCTCTTAAATTGCTTTACCACTTGAGGGTCTGTCTGAAACAACCACTGTGTCCCACTCAGCTTACACGCGTTCCTTAGAAATGCAGGTTTGACTAATTTAAAGGTCAGGATGGTTTAAAGAGCATCCAGTTTCCAAGAGAGAATGGGCAAGTGTCAACGTTCACGGAGGTTTTAGAAGAGTTACATTCGTGGACTATAAACTCTGAAGGGAGGGGCTCACCTCCGACAAAGAAGCGCTCATTATTTATTCAACTTTAAAAGAGCTGCATCTTAAAGCGGGGAGGGGGCGCGAACTTCAGGACATGGAGCCCCTCAGAACTCTGTTGCCTTGACTGCACCGAGACAGACCCGCGAGTTCGCCGGCACCGGCCCAGTAGATCAGCACCAGGGAAGAGAAAGACAACTCGGGACGCGCACATGACATTCCGACACTGAGGGTAAACGAAAACCCCTCGCTCTCGGGCCCCGGCTCACCTGCCTCCGGAGTGGGGAAGATGCGCAGCCTCGGGCCACCTCAGACGGGGCGTCCCTGCACCGCCTCACTTGGTCAGCGGCCACTGCCCGGGGCGGGGTGCCCTGCGAGGGAAGAGAGACCCGGCAGGGCGCGTCGTGGTCGCTGGGTTTTCAGGTACTGCCCGGTGGCCCGTACTGGCAAGGGCTCCGCGGCCTCGTTGCTTAGCAACCTGCGAAGCCGCCCGGTCTTCCCGACACGTCAATTCCTCCCGCCCGCCGGAGCCTGAATAGTGTTTTAAAAAGATTTTGTTTCCGGGTCGAGTCGCTTTACGCAGCGGAAGGTCTCTTTGCCTCCCACGTTTACCCTTGGGGACGAAGTCTCGGTTGCGCTCGTGTGAGTGATTTGCAGAAAGCATCTGTCTGGGCTTCTGCCAATTGCTGGAAGCCATCCGGCAGGTCCTTAACGCCTGAGCTCAAGTCAACCGCCCGTCACAGTCCTCCAATCACAGCGACTCGCCTTCGGGGACTACTTTGTCATATCGAAGAGCGCAGAAAGAAGAGCGTGCGGTGACCCTCTGACCTCGGGAAGTGTAGTTCAACACTTGAAAGAAATGCATTGGAGATTGCGCCGGAATCTGAGCAGCGTAAACTACAGTTCCCAGAGGGCGTAGCGGCAGGGAGCCGAGCCTTTTCTTTCTAACACTGCTCCTTCTTTCCGAGTCGGTCCTGCGGTGGAGGTGACCTAACTCCGTGAGACGCATTTTGCAGTTGCTGAAATTGCACGCGGATTTCCCAGTCATGGTGAGTGTGGGCCCCTGGATCCTGCTCACCTCCGGCCTTCCCGCCCTTGTGTGGGATTTCTTGGAGCTTGAAGGACTTCTGGAGGGCGGCTGTGCAAGGCTCTGTCCTTCGCGCCCTTTGGAAACCGACTCATCTAGGGACTGTCGCAGTGGCCCCATAATTGAAGGAGTTTATTTCCACCTCGGGGAAGGGGGTGCCTTAGAAGGACTCTGGAGAAATCCCTGTCCTTGGAGAGACGCGATCTCAGTCCTGCTGCATGGCGTGGGGAACCAAATATGAAGGTGCGGATTTTTTCCAAAGCTAGCCCTGGGATCTGATAAGGACGATAGGATTGATATGGAAACGGGTATTGGGCCCTAACTCCATTTCTCCTCTTAAGCCCACTGTGTTTTTAAGAGCTTTTATCGCAATCCCTTTGAAGCAGAAAGCCCTGTACCGTGAAGGTAATGCGTACCAGATGTTGCAGATTACTATCTACCTTTTCGGAAAACGCGTTTCCGCCATGTCTAATTTCACGAGTCCTTTAAACCCTGTCATTAATCTTTTGTAATGTCAGTGACCGCATCACTTGCCAAATAACTAGCGGATATTATTTACTGATCTTATGTTACAAATTACAGAACCATGACTTTTAAAAATATTACACAGTGTAACCATCTTGTCATTGAAGATGTGGATAACTGCATCTCCTTATCTTGAGGCTGCTAAAAGGGAGAAGGGGATTGGGTGAGGGAACTCTGACGTAGGAATAATCTGCATACTGTTTGAAGGTGACATTTGACATCAGACAGAGAGAACTTGCTTCAGTACTTGTATCTACAGGGACACTATTTTTCTCCGTTATCTCAAATCACTAAAATGGGTGGAGATGGTGGGGAAATATTTGAATGGATTGGAAATTTTCCAGAATCTTAAAAGACATGTTTTCAAGGGAAGGGGATTACTGCCTCTACCTTTAGGGGGCAGTGGGGACAGCTACTAACTCCTGACTATTAAAAGTAGATTTCTACTTAGATAACATAAGCAGTCATTTAAATGATAGTTTCGGTGGTTTCTTACCTAATAATCTTAGCAAGCAGAGGTACTTAACAAAGTACCTCAGACTGTATAGTTTTAGAACTGGGTAGGGCCTTTTCAAGATCATCTTGACAAATCTCCCCCTTCATGTGTTAAAATTGAGTTTATTGAAACCCAAAGAGAATGTGATTTGCTCAAGGTCACACAACAGTTTACCCCCAGGGAGTCTCACACTCTGCATTGTACCATACTGTGTCACATGGCAGATACTTAAGTCATTTTGAAAATGTATTTTTAGTAACTGAAGTTCTGGATAAAGATACAAGCTCAAACTGCAAATACAAACTAAACTATCAGCATTTATATTACCTGATAGCTTTTATACCTTTGGAATACTGGAATTCTAGAACTGAAGATTATTTCTTCTAGTCTTAAAAAAAGCAACCTGGCAAAGTCAAATGATTTTGTTTTCCAAGGTCCCACAGAGACCCTGAGCCTCCCACTCAAATTGTTTTGCTACATACCAGATAAAGCCAGGCCTCACCCTGAAAGGCCACTCAGGTACCAGATAACAGACTTCCATGAGGAAAGAGCCTCCCATGAGTTTGCTGAAACTGACAGGAAATTCTCACGTGACTCAGTATCTCCTTGCCACTGGAAAGTGTGAACAGTCACTGAGTTAGAAAAGAACTGTCTTTGTAAGCTTTTCAAAGCAGTTTTTTGAAGAAGGAAGTTCCTTGTGCACATAGGGAGTGACAGCAAGAAAAAACTACGAAGGAATCTGAATGATACTGTATGTCAAAAATCACAAAAATATAAATCAGAAAGTGAGAAAGGAATACATGGGTCTTTCTGTAGAATAAACAGAAGGAATACTTAATTCAAGCTTTGCAACGGGGACTTCAGAACATTCACAAAACAGAGCCTGCATCAGCAGGAAGGTCATTAGTGCCCTGCCAAGAGCAAAGACATTCTCCTTTGGTTCTTGGCAGACTGCCCAGATAGCTGAGCAAAGAATAGTAACCTGTCTTCATGCTGTAACATTGTGAAAAGTCAGCGTGAATCTCCCACCCTCCTGCTTTTCAACTGCAGTGTTGCAAAGAGCAGAAAGAACCAAATGAGCACTTTCTTACCGCTTTCATCATCAAACCTTCAGACACTAACTAGGCTCCATAATACTCTTAACGAGATGGAATTACCTACCTGTGAAAATAATTTTGCACAAAGATACAGAAAAAGGAAACTGCTGAAGTAGAATTAGCTGTCACTAGTTGGCCACAACCCCTTCACTAAGGAGTTGATAATGTGAACACATTTTTTTAGTAACTAAAATTAACACCAAAAAATGACTACATTATTCCACTCTAACCATCTACCTGATTTACTGGGAGATTAAGCTTTACAAATAGTAATATTCCCTTTCCCCCTTATTTCTTATCCCAGCTTGCTTTATGTTTAAGGAGCATATGTTCATGTTTTTCTTAACCCTGCTTTCATTTATTCAACAAATATTTGTTGAACACTATATGGGCCTGCAAATTTGAGTCAAAGGCAGAGTGCTATGGGGGTAGAAGGTCACAGTCTAGAAGAGAGTAACAGACTTTTAAGTAGAGAACCACAGGCTAAAAGAGTGCTTAATGGAAAATTTTATAGGGACTGACCTATAATTATATATAATACTTGTTATAATTCTAGTGCGTACATTCTTAATGCTTTGTATGTTAACTCAGTCTTTACAACTACCTTGTTTGTTAGGTAGCTCCTATTTCCATTTTTCTGTGGGAAATTGAATATAGAGAGGTTAAGTAGCTTGCCCAAGAACATAAAGCTAGTAAGTTGTGATGTCAGGATTTGAACCCATAAAGTCCAGCCCTAGAGGCCTTCTCTTCACTACACCCTGCCTCCCTGGAGCCCCGGTTTATATCCTCTTGTTTCTTGCATATGAATCACTAATAGATTTTTCTCAGCTAAAATAGTACCAGGTATTTGTAGAGGTTCAGTGGTGTTCTGTTTAATGAATGAAGTGAGGTAACTGTTCATTGATTGCTTCATAAGACGGTATCATTAGAACTAGTGACATAAACAATTTTGCTGACAATAGCTGAAACTATTGGGCACTAAATTTCCAACCTTCTCAATGCACGTATATATGAATAACAGTTTTTAAAGCATGTTAGGTTTGCTTCCATACAGTTATTTTACATTTCCAAGTTTCTAGTAGAATTTTATAAGACCCAACTATTCCTTCATCAAATATTTTAGCTCCAACTATGTGCCAAGCACTGTTGTAAGCAGTGAGATACAGAAGTAAATCCATAAGGGGCTTGCATTCTAAAAAGGGAAGGGGAATAATTTCTTCCTCTACTCCCTGTACCTATTCTGGAAGGGAACAGGAAAAAATGACAGAATCAAAAACATGTAAAGGCCATGATATAAACTAACCCTATACAGTACTTTTAGTGTTCTTTATAAACAAGGATATTTGGGAATATAAATATGTATCATATTAAAATTGGTTTATTTGGGGAATTATCATACTTTATATATTTAGAGATAAGAAGGTCTGGGGGAAAACTAGGTGAAGAAGATAAGGAAGAGACATGGCTCCCCCACAAGTCTGCTCTTTTTTTTTTCTATTCTCACCTTGGTCACATCTCTGAGGAAGAAATGCATACAAAGTCTGCTATGATGATCATCATTTCTCTACAACAGTTGACACTTTTTTCCCCGAGATTTTTTTCCCTTTGTCTTCTATGTGTACCAAATTACCAAGTGCAGTTGGTCTTCAGAGGCTAGGGTTGGAAGGTAGAAGGGCCCTGTGAGGTCATACCTCCTTCCATCCTAGAGGGATGACTCATCTCAAAGAGGGAGTTTGAAACAAAGACATCAAATGCTTCTATCCCCAGTCAATTCAGTGAGCCCACTAGTAGAGGTGACAGAGTGGAAGTACATTTACCACACTGTTAAGGAAAGGAACAGTTCACCTTGACTGAACTTTTTCATCTAACTAAACTTAAGCATTAAGTTTCCAACATTTTTATTTAGTAGAAATATTTTTATCTTTTTAATTCTGTTTGCTTAATTTAACATTTTTTTTAATGACTCAGGATCAATATCACTTTAAATATTAGTTATTTCTGTCCATATGCTCATATTTCAGGGTCTGTTGAGATATTTAAAGTGACTTCCCTCTATTACAACTACTATATTCTGTACTTCTTCCCCTTCCTCCCTTTTAAAATTAATTTTCCCTTGGAATTAGGTTGTCAGCTGTCACTGAAAGTTGCTGTTACATGTTGTTAATAATATAATAATCCAGATACTAATCACTTTCATATTTATTGTCCCTCCTTAAATGAAAAATAAAGGCTTATTTTTCCTCTTCCAAGTAGTTAAGTTGAATCTTGATTAATAGTTTTATTAAAACTTTCTCACTTAGTGAATGAAAAATTTTAACTAGTTACCCCTTTTCTGGTGCGAAGGATTCTATTAAGCAGAGGGAGTGGGGATTTTGCAGAAAAGGATTTGTAAGGTCCTATAGAGGCCATCAGAGTATATGACCATATAACTAAAGCACATCAACATTTTTAGGCTTGTTTCAGTAGTAAAATACCCTAAAAAAGTGGATAAGATTTTCTGAGTAAATCCAAGGTAACAGAGTTAA